TAACCAAGGCACCGTATCGATTAGCACCTCCCAAGATGCAGGAGTTGTCTACGCAGTTGCACGAGCTGCTAGACAAGAGATTCATCAGACCGAGCAGTTCGCCATGGGGAGCCCCGATCCTATTTGTGAAGAAGAAGGACGGGTCACATCGTATGTGTATTGACTACCGGGAGCTGAACAAGGTAACGGTGAAGAACCGTTACCCACTCCAAAGGATAGATGACTTGTTTGACTAGCTGCAGGGAGCATCTTGGTTCTCTAAGATTGATCTACGGCCAGGTTATCACCAGTGCGAGTCAGGGACGTGGATGTCCAGAAGACGGCTTTTAAGACTCGCTATGGTCATTATGACTTTGTGGTGATGCCGTTTGGGCTCACCAATGATCCAGTCGCGTTCATGGATCTCATGAACCGAGTGTGCATACCGATGTTGGATCGGTCTGTGATAGTTTTTATCGATGATATCTTGGTCTATTCCAAGACACGGGAGCAGCATGAGGAGCACCTGAGGGAGGTGCTGGAGACACTGAGGAGGGAGAGACTTTTCGCAAAGTTCTCTAAGTGTGAGTTCTGGTTGCGCGAGGTGCAGTTTTTGGGGCATCTCGTCAACCAGAAGGGTATTCTGGTCGATCCGGCCAAGATAGAGGCCGTGATGCAGTGGGAGGTTCCGAGGTCTCCAACTGAGATTCGGAGTTTTCTTGGTCTAGCGGGTTATTACAGGAGATTCATCCAGGATTTCTCCAAGATTGTTGTTCCTTGAACCCGACTGACCAAGAAGTCGGTGACATTCCGCTGGGAGCCTGAGCAGCAGGCGGCCTTCGAGACTCTCAGACAGCGGTTGTGCGAGGCACCAATTTTGACTCTGCCCGAGGGAGTAGATGACTTCGTGGTGTATTGTGACGTGTCGATTATGGTCATGGGTGCAGTTCTGGTGTAGAGGGGTCATGTGATATCCTACGTGTCGAGGCAGTTGAAGCCACACGAGGCTAACTATCCGACGCATGATTTAGAGTTGGGGGCTATGGTGTTCGCCCTTAAGATTTGGCGGCATTACCTCTATGGGGTCCGTTGTACCATTTACACGGACCACAAGAGTTTGAGATACCTTATGGATCAGCCAAATCTAAACATGAGGCAACGTCGGTGGCTAGATGTGGTAAATGATTATGATTGTGAGATCCTTTATCACCCGGGCAAGGCCAATGTGGTGGCCGACGCCCTGAGCCGCAAGGCGGTAGCTGCTCTGATTAGAGATATATGTTTGAGGATGACAGTGATCACTCCACTGTTGGAGAAGATTAGAGAAGCGTGGGTTGAGGGCCTGAAGGAAGAGCGCCAGAAGTGTGAGGGGATTGTAGGCCGAGTGGCCTCATTTGATTTTGATAGCCGAGGGTTGCTGACCCTGCATGGGAGGGTCTGGGTTCCGTACTGGGGCGGAGTACGGCAGGTTCTGATGGATGAGCCCTATAAGTCGAGGTTCTCCATCCATCATGGGGCGACGAAGATGCATCGGGATCTTCGCGCTGAGTATTGGTGGCCCTGCATAAAGCATGAGGTAGCATGGTATAAAGAGAGGTGCTTGACCTGCAGGAAGGTCAAGGCTGAGCACCAGAGACCACACGACAAGATGCAGCCGCTAGACATTATCGTGTGGAAGTGGGAGGATATCACCATGGATATCATTACCAAGCTTCCCAGGACTGCACGTGGAGTAGATTCGATATGGGTCATCATGGATCGGTTGACCAAGATCGCTCATTTTATCCCGATCCAGGAGAGAATATCGGCCGAGAATTTGGCCGAGATATATGTGTTGGATTAGATGTCTAAGCCCATAACTATTATTGGTATGTACTTGACCCGAGAGTAGCATGGTCCATTTGGGTTGCATATCATCAGGACAATTTGTTAGGATTGACTCTTGAGAGAAAGGTAATATATGATTTATTAATATATTATAAGTTATAATATATTAATATGAAATCATATGTTTTATTAGTATTGATCAAGAATTAATTTGGAATTAATTTAGTGATCAAAAGAGACTAACTAAATATATGGGGACTAATTATGATAATTAGTTATATTTATATGTGTTGGGCTTATGATCCATGTTGGACCAAGTTTATGTATGGATACATAAAGAGTTGGGCAACATGAACCATGGATCCTAAACCCATGGGTATGGATTTGGGTTATACCCATGACCCTTGAAATCCAACATATAAATACATGATCTTAACCTAAAAAACGCCTACATGCTTGTTCTTGGAGTTCATGGGTGTTTTTGGGTGCATGGAATTCTCTCTCAAGTTCCACCTTTGTCCATGATGTGTTGTGACTTCATTTGAGGCTTCCACACTATTGGGGCTAAGCTCTTTAAGGCCAAATTCATCAAGTTCTACAAGCTACACAAAGAGGTAAACTTCTAACTAGTATTTTATGTAGTTTATATCATTTGTATGCTAGTTGTAGGCTTAAAGCTTTGGAAACCATTTGCATGTATAATTAGTGAAAACATAGATCCAAAGCTTCTAGGATTGTATGTGCACAATAGGATGTTGTAGTATACAAAACCCAACAATGGTATCAAAGCCATGGGTTGTTTTCTGTTATATTGATGCAAATGTTTGATTTTCAAAGTTGAAAAAAAAACATGAAGTTTGTCAAATTTTAAGATAATTACTTGTTTTGTGAAAAGCTAATTATTTGTAAATTTTAATCATTTGCTATATGAGTTGAATTAGGTCAAATTTAGTAAAAGATAAAATGATATGATTATTTTATTAGTTTTAAAAGTTTGATCTAAAGAGTTTTTTTTTTTGAAACCTCCATAAGTTATAGATATGAATGTTTTTAAAAAAAATTGATTCAAAGTTTTTTATGGAGTTACAAAACTTGGTGTTAATGTTTTAAAGAATTCCATAACTTGTTCTTAAGTTATGGAACATGAAAAGTTTCATCATAAAACAAGCATTTAACTCCATAAGTTATGGAATCCAAAAGTTTTCAAGAGTTACAAAACTTGCCCTCAAGTTTTGGAATTTGAAAAAAGTTTTTTATGAAAAAAAAATGAATTCTAAAACTCTTGGGTTCATAACTTAAACAATTAATTAAATGGTTTTAATTTTGAATTTAATAATTGGAATTATGATATTTTGTTGAATAGTTCAAATTAACTCTTATGGACTTTAGTAATAGTTAATTAAAGCGTTTAATTAAAAGAGTATTATTAAATCCATAAATATATGGTTTGAGTTTAATTAAATTAAAAGTCTAGTTTAATTAATAGATTAAACCACCAAGTATTTTAAATGTCTAAAATACACCCTTATACTATTATAATATTAAAAGTTTAATATATTATATGTATAAGTAAAAAGTCGGTCTTACTGTTAGTAGGCCTCATTCACGAAGCCGGACTATAAGGGGGTATAAGGTTACTGCCTATAAAATGGCGGTTTAATGGGTGTGCACTCTCACCCACCGCTTCCTTGACTGGTGGAGGGTGGTTAGCCGAACGGGTAGGACAGGACATTAATTCTCCCTTCATTAAAAGTATAATGATAAATACTAAGTAACTAAACTTTATTAAATTCTCAATCTTAGTTACTTTAGGAAAATGTGAATTTGGTGCTAACCCATGAAATTACACTTTATACCCTGTTAAGTCGTTAGTGGAGCGTGTGTGGTTAACCAGAACACTAATCTGGGACTAACAGTGCGTGGCAAAGGGTAGCTTGATGTTAATCATAGATCAATGGAGCGTGTGTGGTTAACCGACACATTGATTAGGTGGTTGTAACATTAAGTGTACCAAGTTAATTTGCATGGTTATTCACTCCTTGTTTGTGACCCTCGGCATCCCAGTCACAAACCTGAAGGGCACAATCGAGATTTAAACATGTCATTGAATAGTTCAATGAATCTCAAAAGATCTAGGAGTTTCAATTCATTTAAAACCTAATGTTAAATTTTGTTTTTCATGGTGGAAATTGGTAAATCGTCATTTACCTACCTTCAAATATTTTGTAGCTTGGATTACGGCATCCCTATTCCAAGTTATAAAATATTGTGTTGGGTCCTAGCCTTAATATTTCATATTGGGTGTTATATTAAGGACCTAAATCAACTAAACTTGAATTTCTCCCTCATAGATGTCTAGTTATGACAACTATGGTCTTCCATATCCTTTTGGATAAAGCTATTCTAATGAATATGATATCCCAAATGACGATCAAGGTGAAAGATTAATCCCTTTGTTGTGCATTAATGGGACTGGAAATCATACTTCACTTCCTCCACCTCCTCCAATTGTTCTCCCTAACCCACAAGTTCAAAGACTTGAAAAGTTCAAGGTCACTCAAGCCTTATTGGCAAGATGGAAAGTCTATGTGTGCTCACATCTTGGAGATGAAGTCACATATTGACAAGCCGGGAGAGTTGGGTGTCAAATTCTTGAGGAAGTTGGTTGTTGACTAGGTTCTTCAATCACTTCCTAAGTCACATAGTGAGTTCTTTAAGGACTACTATGTGACAGACCATGACATGATCCTTAATGATCTTACCTATTTGGTTGATGCTACTGAATCGGCAATGATTTGGAGCATTGGTAAAGCAAATTTGATTGGAATATCTACTTGCCAAACTTACATGGACATTGACAATGGTAACATTGGAAGTCCAAAAAAGCTTTCTCTTCCCAATGGAAAGGGATCGGCCATAGTCAACCAGGTTGACCAAATGGTAAAGAGAAAGGCTAAGTCTGAGATAGTCCTATGTACCATTACTAAAGAGTTCATATGTTTCTATTGCCAAAAGAAAGGGCACTGGTGGCGAAGCTGCCTTATTTACCTGGAAGTTCACTAGGATGGTAAAAGTAAAAAATTTGACTATGCTTCAGATAAAGTCCACTATCTAACTCTATTAAGTTCCTATTTGGAGATTCTTATTACATGATGTGACTAGGTTGCATCTTGATGTTTTGTAGAATCGAAGAAATGAAAGGGAACTTAAAGGAAGAGTAAGTTGATTCTAATCGCGAAGATGGATTTCGATCGCATGATTCGAAGATCAAAATTTTGAGCTGCTGCTTAAGTGTTATGATAAATTGCTTAGGAATAGATAACAACATAGTTTTCATTTGTATTTGCATTGTAAGGATAAGTTTTCCGCAAATTTTATAAAGAAAAGTTTTTATTTATTTTAAGTATCCTTACAATGGCATTTGTGAAACTTGTTGTTTATATGATTCCATTGATAGCAATATTGGAAAATGGATTTGATTCTTTCGTTTGTGGTAGTGTCATAATTTACCAAATAATGAAAGATTTTCATCACCCAAGTTTCATTTGGATAGAAATTTGGAATCATGCAACTTGTATTGTATAATGAATGAGAATTTTCATCTTTTGGGAAATTAAGACTAATTCCTTGTTCACATGTATATGTGAGTCAAGTGAAGGACTAGGAGATCGGGTACACTTGGTTGTGCGCTGATCAGGTCCACCACAAAGAACGATAAGGTTATTCGTCATGATTTACTAAAGTTTAGTAAATATGGTTATGCTTACAAATTTAAGTATAATTCTGAAACATTCACTACTAGAAAAACAGCCTTCTACGACGCGCGAACCATGACACGCAGTGATTTATGATACGCAAATGTGTGTGTCCAAAAAATAATGTCATCTCTTCCGAAATTTAAAGGATTTAGGACGCGTATTTTTGCGTGCCCTAAAGTTAGTGTCTAAAAAAACACGGAGGGCACCTATAATAAAATGTGTGTCGTCTAAGACCGTTGCTTTATAAATTTTTAATAGAACGCGCGCGTTCCTTCCGGGGAAAATGAAATCCCAAAAACTTAAAATCCCCGCCTTCCTTTTTTTCTCCTCCACTTTAGTTTCCCTAGTAGCTAGGGCTTTTGTCAAGAACTTGCCCCGACCGCCCTCCTCTACTGCTCGTTCTCTCTTCAACTTCCCTTTATCTCCTTCTCACTTCGACAAACCCTTTCTCTTCTTCTCAGTTCTCGACGTCGACAGCTTCTCCTACCTCCGACGTTTCTCTTGGTGCTGGCGCCTCCCACCTCTGACCTCCGTCCAACCCCGCCCCACCATCCAACGCTTTCCAACGACACCCAGCCGGTGGAGCCCCTCCTCTCCGGCAATCTCACCTCGCATGCCCTTGCCACAAACATTAGGTCCGGTGACCTTTGGCTCACTGCTTCTATTGCTCAAATTTACAAGCCCTATGTCTTATTAAGGTATGTTTTTCTTGATTCTAACTTCCCAATGTTTTCGTTCTTCTATAAGAACCCTAGCTTGCTAAATCTCTTTTTCTTTCCGGCTTAATTTCTCTCTATTTCATTTACGATCGAAGGAACAAACTTCCGATTTTTGGTGAAACTAACAATCGATGATGTGTGATTAGGTGAAATAATCGACTAGGGTTAATTAGGAACAAAGACACATGGAAACGGGAAAGGGGATGAACAAGAAACACACAATATGTTTGATTAGGTGAAATCATCGGTTTTGGCAATTTTCTTGCAATCATTGGTACTACCGGAAAGCTTAGTTGGCAGGAGGAGCCGCTTCACTTTGGCGGTCAAGAATAAAGATCATAACCTGTTATTTGTTTGTAACAGTGTGTTCGCTTATATGATGCAAGTGCCAATGTGTTAAGAGGAGAGTTCCTTCATGGAGGTGCAGTTCTTGATTGCTGCTTTCATGATGATACCTCTGGTTTTAGTGCTAGTGCAGATAACACTGTCACAAGGTATGACTAAATGATGCATATACTTTCTTGGATTATTGACTTATCTTTTTCTTGACTAAGTTTCAAGCTACATCCCTTTTACATCTCTCAGGCTTGTTTTTTACCACAAAAGGAAGGATCTTTTAGGACGCCATGATGCCCCTGTTCGCTGTATCGAGTACTCTTATGCAACAGGTTAGTGTCATTCATTTCATCATTTGTTTTCATTTTGTTAATATCATCATACATTCATACTTTCATTTCCTTCTAGTACATCATTGTGTTTTCAATTCTTTTTCTTGTTGGTGGTTTTTAGGGCAAGTGATTACAGGGAGTTGGGACAAAACTTTGAAGTGTTGGGACCCACGTGGTGGAGGTGCACAGGAGCGTGCAATGGAGTTTTTTGATGCAATGGCACCAATTATTTTCTGTTTGTAGTATTTCTCATAGCTTTTATTATAATTTATCACATTCAAAATAAGTCTCTTCGATCACAAAAACCAAACTGTGTTCCAAAATCTCTCTTTTCTCTTTTCTTCAAAGTTTGGGAGTGCTTGATGAGGAATAATTTTGAATTTTCAATGATCATATGTTGTGTAGTTAGTACTATTTCATCTTCATATCTAAAATAATAAACAATATGAACATTTAGCATGTGATGTATCATGTAGGTGATTAGTTTAGTGTAGGATCTTCTTTATGGAGATGTAGAACATTACTATGTGTGATATGATCTGATCATCTGATATTGATATACTTATGATTGCTTGTTACTCGGTTTGCAGAAGTGAAGGGAAGTCAAATCATCTTTTATGCGGGTAAGGTGGCAAAATCAAAAAGAATTTAAAATCTTCATACTTTCATTTCCTTCTAGTACATCATTGTGTTTTCAATTCTTTTTCTTGTTGGTGGTTTTTAGGGCAAGTGATTACAGGGAGTTGGGACAAAACTTTGAAGTGTTGGGACCCACGTGGTGGAGGTGCACAGGAGCGTGCAATGGAGTTTTTTGATGCAATGGCACCAATTATTTTCTGTTTGCAGTATTTCTCATAGCTTTTATTATAATTTATCACATTCAAAATAAGTCTCTTCGATCACAAAAACCAAACTGTGTTCCAAAATCTCTCTTTTCTCTTTTCTTCAAAGTTTGGGAGTGCTTGATGAGGAATAATTTTGAATTTTCAATGATCATATGTTGTGTAGTTAGTACTATTTCATCTTCATATCTAAAATAATAAACAATATGAACATTTAGCATGTGATGTATCATGTAGGTGATTAGTTTAGTGTAGGATCTTCTTTATGGAGATGTAGAACATTACTATGTGTGATATGATCTGATCATCTGATATTGATATACTTATGATTGCTTGTTACTCGGTTTGCAGAAGTGAAGGGAAGTCAAATCATCTTTTATGCGGGTAAGGTGGCAAAATCAAAAAGAATTTAAAATCTTCATACTTTCATTTCCTTCTAGTACATCATTGTGTTTTCAATTCTTTTTCTTGTTGGTGGTTTTTAGGGCAAGTGATTACAGGGAGTTGGGACAAAACTTTGAAGTGTTGGGACCCACGTGGTGGAGGTGCACAGGAGCGTGCAATGGAGTTTTTTGATGCAATGGCACCAATTATTTTCTGTTTGCAGTATTTCTCATAGCTTTTATTATAATTTATCACATTCAAAATAAGTCTCTTCGATCACAAAAACCAAACTGTGTTCCAAAATCTCTCTTTTCTCTTTTCTTCAAAGTTTGGGAGTGCTTGATGAGGAATAATTTTGAATTTTCAATGATCATATGTTGTGTAGTTAGTACTATTTCATCTTCATATCTAAAATAATAAACAATATGAACATTTAGCATGTGATGTATCATGTAGGTGATTAGTTTAGTGTAGGATCTTCTTTATGGAGATGTAGAACATTACTATGTGTGATATGATCTGATCATCTGATATTGATATACTTATGATTGCTTGTTACTCGGTTTGCAGAAGTGAAGGGAAGTCAAATCATCTTTTATGCGGGTAAGGTGGCAAAATCAAAAAGAATTTAAAATCTTCATACTTTCATTTCCTTCTAGTACATCATTGTGTTTTCAATTCTTTTTCTTGTTGGTGGTTTTTAGGGCAAGTGATTACAGGGAGTTGGGACAAAACTTTGAAGTGTTGGGACCCACGTGGTGGAGGTGCACAGGAGCGTGCAATGGAGTTTTTTGATGCAATGGCACCAATTATTTTCTGTTTGCAGTATTTCTCATAGCTTTTATTATAATTTATCACATTCAAAATAAGTCTCTTCGATCACAAAAACCAAACTGTGTTCCAAAATCTCTCTTTTCTCTTTTCTTCAAAGTTTGGGAGTGCTTGATGAGGAATAATTTTGAATTTTCAATGATCATATGTTGTGTAGTTAGTACTATTTCATCTTCATATCTAAAATAATAAACAATATGAACATTTAGCATGTGATGTATCATGTAGGTGATTAGTTTAGTGTAGGATCTTCTTTATGGAGATGTAGAACATTACTATGTGTGATATGATCTGATCATCTGATATTGATATACTTATGATTGCTTGTTACTCGGTTTGCAGAAGTGAAGGGAAGTCAAATCATCTTTTATGCGGGTAAGGTGGCAAAATCAAAAAGAATTTAAAATCTTCATACTTTCATTTCCTTCTAGTACATCATTGTGTTTTCAATTCTTTTTCTTGTTGGTGGTTTTTAGGGCAAGTGATTACAGGGAGTTGGGACAAAACTTTGAAGTGTTGGGACCCACGTGGTGGAGGTGCACAGGAGCGTGCAATGGAGTTTTTTGATGCAATGGCACCAATTATTTTCTGTTTGCAGTATTTCTCATAGCTTTTATTATAATTTATCACATTCAAAATAAGTCTCTTCGATCACAAAAACCAAACTGTGTTCCAAAATCTCTCTTTTCTCTTTTCTTCAAAGTTTGGGAGTGCTTGATGAGGAATAATTTTGAATTTTCAATGATCATATGTTGTGTAGTTAGTACTATTTCATCTTCATATCTAAAATAATAAACAATATGAACATTTAGCATGTGATGTATCATGTAGGTGATTAGTTTAGTGTAGGATCTTCTTTATGGAGATGTAGAACATTACTATGTGTGATATGATCTGATCATCTGATATTGATATACTTATGATTGCTTGTTACTCGGTTTGCAGAAGTGAAGGGAAGTCAAATCATCTTTTATGCGGGTAAGGTGGCAAAATCAAAAAGAATTTAAAATCTTCATACTTTCATTTCCTTCTAGTACATCATTGTGTTTTCAATTCTTTTTCTTGTTGGTGGTTTTTAGGGCAAGTGATTACAGGGAGTTGGGACAAAACTTTGAAGTGTTGGGACCCACGTGGTGGAGGTGCACAGGAGCGTGCAATGGAGTTTTTTGATGCAATGGCACCAATTATTTTCTGTTTGCAGTATTTCTCATAGCTTTTATTATAATTTATCACATTCAAAATAAGTCTCTTCGATCACAAAAACCAAACTGTGTTCCAAAATCTCTCTTTTCTCTTTTCTTCAAAGTTTGGGAGTGCTTGATGAGGAATAATTTTGAATTTTCAATGATCATATGTTGTGTAGTTAGTACTATTTCATCTTCATATCTAAAATAATAAACAATATGAACATTTAGCATGTGATGTATCATGTAGGTGATTAGTTTAGTGTAGGATCTTCTTTATGGAGATGTAGAACATTACTATGTGTGATATGATCTGATCATCTGATATTGATATACTTATGATTGCTTGTTACTCGGTTTGCAGAAGTGAAGGGAAGTCAAATCATCTTTTATGCGGGTAAGGTGGCAAAATCAAAAAGAATTTAAAATCTTCATACTTTCATTTCCTTCTAGTACATCATTGTGTTTTCAATTCTTTTTCTTGTTGGTGGTTTTTAGGGCAAGTGATTACAGGGAGTTGGGACAAAACTTTGAAGTGTTGGGACCCACGTGGTGGAGGTGCACAGGAGCGTGCAATGGAGTTTTTTGATGCAATGGCACCAATTATTTTCTGTTTGCAGTATTTCTCATAGCTTTTATTATAATTTATCACATTCAAAATAAGTCTCTTCGATCACAAAAACCAAACTGTGTTCCAAAATCTCTCTTTTCTCTTTTCTTCAAAGTTTGGGAGTGCTTGATGAGGAATAATTTTGAATTTTCAATGATCATATGTTGTGTAGTTAGTACTATTTCATCTTCATATCTAAAATAATAAACAATATGAACATTTAGCATGTGATGTATCATGTAGGTGATTAGTTTAGTGTAGGATCTTCTTTATGGAGATGTAGAACATTACTATGTGTGATATGATCTGATCATCTGATATTGATATACTTATGATTGCTTGTTACTCGGTTTGCAGAAGTGAAGGGAAGTCAAATCATCTTTTATGCGGGTAAGGTGGCAAAATCAAAAAGAATTTAAAATCTTCATACTTTCATTTCCTTCTAGTACATCATTGTGTTTTCAATTCTTTTTCTTGTTGGTGGTTTTTAGGGCAAGTGATTACAGGGAGTTGGGACAAAACTTTGAAGTGTTGGGACCCACGTGGTGGAGGTGCACAGGAGCGTGCAATGGAGTTTTTTGATGCAATGGCACCAATTATTTTCTGTTTGCAGTATTTCTCATAGCTTTTATTATAATTTATCACATTCAAAATAAGTCTCTTCGATCACAAAAACCAAACTGTGTTCCAAAATCTCTCTTTTCTTTCTTTCTTCAAAGTTTGGGAGTGCTTGATGAGGAATAATTTTGAATTTTCAATGATCATATGTTGTGTAGTTAGTACTATTTCATCTTCATATCTAAAATAATAAACAATATGAACATTTAGCATGTGATGTATCATGTAGGTGATTAGTTTAGTGTAGGATCTTCTTTATGGAGATGTAGAACATTACTATGTGTGATATGATCTGATCATCTGATATTGATATACTTATGATTGCTTGTTACTCGGTTGCAGAAGTGAAGGGAAGTCAAATCATCTTTTATGCGGGTAAGGTGGCAAAATCAAAAAGAATTTAAAATCTTCATACTTTCATTTCCTTCTAGTACATCATTGTGTTTTCAATTCTTTTTCTTGTTGGTGGTTTTTAGGGCAAGTGATTACAGGGAGTTGGGACAAAACTTTGAAGTGTTGGGACCCACGTGGTGGAGGTGCACAGGAGCGTGCAATGGAGTTTTTTGATGCAATGGCACCAATTATTTTCTGTTTGCAGTATTTCTCATAGCTTTTATTATAATTTATCACATTCAAAATAAGTCTCTTCGATCACAAAAACCAAACTGTGTTCCAAAATCTCTCTTTTCTCTTTTCTTCAAAGTTTGGGAGTGCTTGATGAGGAATAATTTTGAATGTCAATGATCATATGTTGTGTAGTTAGTACTATTTCATCTTCATATCTAAAATAATAAACAATATGAACATTTAGCATGTGATGTATCATGTAGGTGATTAGTTTAGTGTAGGATCTTCTTTATGGAGATGTAGAACATTACTATGTGTGATATGATCTGATCATCTGATATTGATATACTTATGATGGCTTGTTACTCGTCGTTTGCAGAAGGGAAGGGAAGTCAAATCATCTTTTATGCGGGTAAGGTGGCAAAATCAAAAAGAATTTAAAATCTTCATACTTTCATTTCCTTCTAGTACATCATTGTGTTTCAATCTTTTTCTTGTTGGTGGTTTTTTAGGGCAAGTGATTACAGGGAGTTGGGACAAAACTTTGAAGTGTTGGGACCCACGTGGTGGAGGTGCACAGGACGTGCAATGGAGTTTTTTGATGCAATGGCACCAATTATTTTTCTGTTTGCAGTATTTCTCATAGCTTTTATTATATTTATCACATTCAAAATAAGTCTCTTCGATCACAAAAACCAAACTGTGTTCCAAAATCTCTCTTTTCTCTTTTCTTCAAAGTTTTGGGAGTGCTTGATGAGGAATAATTTTGAATTTCAAATGATCATATGTTGGTGTAGTTAGTACTATTTCATCTTCATATCTAAAATAATAAACAATATGAACATTTAGCATGTGATGTATCATGTAGGTGATTAGTTTAGTGTAGGATCTTCTTTATGGAGATGTAGAACATTACTATGTGTGATATGATCTGATCATCTGATTGATATACTTGATTGCTTGTTACTTGTTTTGTACTACTGTTGCAGAAGTGAAGGGAAGTCAAATCATCTTTTATGCGGGTAAGGTGGCAAAATCAAAAAGAATTTAAAATCTTCATACTTTCATTTCCTTCTAGTACATCATTGTGTTTTCAATTCTTTTTCTTGTTGGTGGTTTTTAGGGCAAGTGATTACAGGGAGTTGGGACAAACTTTGAAGTGTTGGGACCCACGTGGTGGAGGTGCACAGGAGCGTGCAATGGAGTTTTTTGATGCAATGGCACCAATTATTTTCTGTTTGCAGTATTTCTCATAGCTTTTTATTATAATTTATCACATTCAAAATAAGTCTCTCTTCGATCACAAAAACCAAACTGTGTTCCAAAATCTCTCTTTTCTCTTTTCTTCAAAGTTGGGAGTGCTTGATGAGGAATAATTTTTGAATTTCAATGATCATATGTTGTGTAGTTAGTACTATTATCATCTTCATATCTAAAATAATAAACAATATGAACATTTAGCATGTGATGTATCATGTAGGTGATTAGTTTAGTGTAGGATCTTCTTTATGGAGATGTAGAACATTACTATGTGTGATATGATCTGATCATCTGATATTGATATACTTGATGCTTGCTTGTTACTCGTTTGCAGAAGTGAAGGGAAGTCAAATCATCTTTTATGATGCGGGTAAGGTGGCAAAATCAAAAAGAATTTAAAATCTTCATACTTTTCATTCCTTCTAGTACATCATTGTGTTTTCAATTCTTTTTCTTGTTGGTGGTTTTTAGGGCAAGTGATTACAGGGAGTTGGGACAAAACTTTGAAGTGTTGGGACCCACGTGGTGGAGGTGCACAGGAGCGTGCAATGGAGTTTTTGTGATGCAATGGCACAATTATTTTCTGTTTGCAGTATTTCTCATAGCTTTTATTATTAATTTATCACATTCAAAATAAGTCTCTTCGATCACAAAAACAAAAACTGTGTTCCAAAATCTCTCTTTTCTCTTTTCTTCAAAGTTTGGGAGTGCTTGATGAGGAATAATTTTGAATTTTCAATGATCATATGTTTGTAGTTAGTACTATTTCATCTTCATATCTAAAATAATAAAACAATATGAACATTTAGCATGGTGATTATCATGTAGGTGATTAGTTTAGTGTAGGATCTTCTTTATGGAGATGTAGAACATTACTATGTGTGATATGATCTGATCATCTGATATTGATATACTTATGATGGCTTGTTACTCGGTTTGCAGAAGTGAAGGGAAGTCAAATCATCTTTTATGCGGTAAGGTGGCAAACAAAAAGAATTTAAAATCTTCATACTTTCATTTCCTTCTAGTACATCATTGTGTTTTCAATTCTTTTTCTTGTTGGTGGTTTTTAGGGCAAGTGATTACAGGGAGTTGGGACAAAACTTTGAAGTGTTGGGACCCACCTGATATTGATATACCTCGCATGCCCTTGCCACAAACATTAGGTCCGGTGAACTTTGGCTCACTGCTTCTATTGCTCAAATTTACAAGCCCTATGTCTTATTAAGGTATGTTTTTCTTGATTCTAACTTCCCAATGTTTTCGTTCTTCTATAAGAACCCTAGCGCTTGCTAAATCTCTCTTTTTCTTTCCGGCTTATTTCTCTCTATTTCATTTACGATCGAAGGAACAAACTTCCGATTTTTGGTGAAACTAACAATCGATGATGTGTGATTAGGTGAAAATAATCGACTAGGGTTTAATTAGGAACAAAGACACATGGAAACGGGAAAGGGGATGAACAAGAAACAACACTATGTTTGATTAGGTGAAATCATCGGTTTGGCAATTTTCTTGCAATCATTGGTACTACCGGAAAGCTTAGTTGGCAGGAGGAGCCGCTTCACTTTGGCGGTCAAGAATAAAGATCATAACCTGTTATTTGTTGTAACAGTGTGTTCGCTTATATGATGCAAGTGCCAATGTGTTAAGAGGAGAGTTCCTTCATGGAGGTGCTTCTTTGATTGCTGCTTTCATGATGATACCTCGGTTTTAGTGCTAGTGCAGATAACACTGTCACAAGGTATGACTAAATGATGCCATATACTTTCTTGGATTATTGACTTATCTTTTTCTTGACTAAGTTTCAAGCTACATCCCTTTTACAAATCTCTCAGACTTGTTTTTTACCACAAAAGGAAGGATCTTTTAGGACGCCATGATGCCCCTGTTCGCTGTATCGAGTACTCTTATGCAACAGGTTAGTGTCATTCATTTCATCATTTGTTTTCATTTTGTTAATATCATCATACATTCATACTTTCATTTCCTTCTAGTACATCATTGTGTTTTCAATTCTTTTTCTTTTGGTGGTTTTTAGGGCAATTGATTACAGGGAGTTGGGACAAACTTTGAAGTGTTGGGACCCCACGTGGTGGAGGTGCACAGGAGCGTGCAAATGGAGTTTTTGATGCAATGGCACCAATTATTTTCTGTTTGTAGTATTTTATCATAGCTTTTATTATAATTTATCACATTCAAAATAAGTCTCTTCGATCACAAAAACCAAACTGTGTTCCAAAATCTCTCTTTTCTCTTTTCTTCAAAGTTTGGGGAGTGCTTGATGAGGAATAATTTTGAATTTTCAATGATCATATGTTGTGTAGTTGTACTATTTCATCTTCATATCTAAAATAATAAACAATATGAACATTTAGCATGTGATGTATCATGTAGGTGATTAGTTTAGTGTAGGATCTTCTTTATGGAGATGTAGAACATTACTATGTGTGATATGATCTGATCATCATCTGATATTGATATACTTATGATTGCTTGTTACTCGGTTTGCAGAAGTGAAGGGAAGTCAAATCATCTTTTATGCGGGTAAGGTGGCAAATCAAAAAGAATTTAAAATCTTCATACTTTCATTTCCTTCTAGTACATCATTGTGTTTTCAATTCTTTTTCTTGTTGGTGGTTTTTAGGGCAAGTGATTACAGGGAGTTGGGACAAAACTTTGAAGTGTTGGGACCCACGTGGTGGAGGTGCACAGGAGCGTGCAATGGAGTTTTTTGATGCAATGGCACCAATTATTTTCTGTTTGTAGTATTTCTCATAGCTTTTATTATAATTTATCACATTCAAAATAAGTCTCTTCGATCACAAAAACCAAACTGTGTTCCAAAATCTCTCTTTTCTCTTTTCTTCAAAGTTTGGGAGTGCTTGATGAGGAATAATTTTGAATTTTCAATGATCATATGTTGTGTAGTTAGTACTATTTCATCTTCATATCTAAAATAATAAACAATATGAACATTTAGCATGTGATGTATCATGTAGGTGATTAGTTTAGTGTAGGATCTTCTTTATGGAGATGTAGAACATTACTATGTGTGATATGATCTGATCATCTGATATTGATATACTTATGATTGCTTGTTACTTACCGGTTTGCAGAAGTGAAGGGAAGTCAAATCATCTTTTATGCGGGTAAGGTGGCAAAATCAAAAAGAATTTAAATCTTCAACTACTTTCATTTCCTTCTAGTACATCATTGTGTTTTCAATTCTTTTTCTGTTGGTGGTTTTTAGGGCAAGTGATTACAGGGAGTTGGGACAAAACTTGAAGTGTTGGGACCCACGTGGTGGAGGTGCACAGGAGCTGCAATGGAGTTTTTGATGCAATGGCACCAATTATTTTTCTGTTTGCAGTATTGTCTCATAGCTTTTATTATAATTTATCACATTCAAAATAAGTCTCTTCGATCACAAAACCAAACTGTGTTCCAAAATCTCTCTTTTCTCTTTTCTTCAAAGTTTTGGGAGTGCTTGATGAGGAATAATTTTGAATTTTCAATGATCATATGTTGTGTAGTTAGTACTATTTCATCTTCATATCTAAAATAATAAACAATATGAACATTTAGCATGTGATGTATCATGTAGGTGATTAGTTTAGTGTAGGATCTTCTTTATGGAGATGTAGAACATTACTATGTGTGATATGATCTGATCATCTGATATTGATATACTTATGATTGCTTGTTACTCGGTTTGGCAGACGGGGAGTGAAGGGAAGTCAAATCATCTTTTATGCGGGTAAGGTGGCAAAATCAAAAAGAATTTAAAATCTTCATACTTTATTTCCTTCTAGTACATCATTGTGTTTTCAATTCTTTTCTTGTTGGTGGTTTTTAGGGCAAGTGATTACAGGGAGTTGGGACAAAACTTTGAAGTGTTGGGACCCACGTGGTGGAGGTGCACAGGAGCGTGCAATGGAGTTTTTGATGCAATGGCACCAATTATTTTCTGTTTGCAGTATTTCTCATAGCTTTTATTATAATTTATCACATTCAAAATAAGTCTCTTCGATCACAAAAACCAAACTGTGTTCCAAAATCTCTCTTTTCTCTTTTCTTCAAAGTTTGGGAGTGCTTGATGGAGGAATATTTTTGAAATTTTCAATGATCATATGTTGTGTAGTTAGTACTATTTCATCTTCATATCTAAAATAAAAACAATATGAACATTTAGCATGTGAATGTATCATGTAGGTGATTAGTTTTAGTGTAGGATCTTCTTTATGGAGATGTAGAACATTACTATGTGTGATATGATCTGATCATCTGATATTGAATATACTTATGATTGCTTGTTACTACTGGTTTGCAGAAGTGAAGGGAATCAAATCACCTTTTATGCGGGGAAGGTGGCAAAATCAAAAAGAATTTAAAATCTTCATACTTTCATTTCCTTCTAGTACATCATTGTGTTTTCATTCTTTTTCTTGTTGGTGGTTTTTTTAGGGCAAGTGATTACAGGGAGTTGGGACAAAACTTTGAAGTGTTGGGACCCACGTGGTGGAGGTGCACAGGAGCGTGCAATGGAGTTTTTTGATGCAATGGCCCAATTATTTTCTGTTTGCAGTATTTCTCATAGCTTTTATTATAATTTATCACATTCAAAATAAGTCCTCTTCGATCACAAAAAAACCAAACTGTTGTTCCAAAATCTCTCTTTTCTCTTTTCTTCAAAGTTTGGGAGTGCTTGATGAGGAATAATTTGAATTTTCATGATCATATGTTTGTGAGTTAGTACTATTTCATCTTCATATCTAAAATAATAAACAATATGAACATTTAGCATGTGATGTATCAGGTAGGTGATTAGTTTAGTGTAGGATCTCCTTTTGGAGATGTAGAACATTACTATGTGTGATATGATCTGATCATCTGATATTGATATACTTATGATTGCTTGTTACTTCACTCGGTTTGCAGAAGTGAAGGGAAGTCAAATCATCTTTTATGCGGTAGGTTGCAAAATCAAAAAGAATTTAAAATTCTTTCATACTTTCATTTCCTCTAGTACATCATTGGTTTTTAATTCTTTTTTCTTGTTGGTGGTGTTTTAGGGCAAGTGATTACAGGGAGTTGGGAAAAACTTTGAAGTGTTGGGACCCACGTGTGTGGAGGTGCACAGGAGCGTGCAAATGGAGTTTTTTGGATGCAATGGCACCAATTATTTTCTTCTGTTGCAGTATTCTCATGCTTTTATTATAATTTATCACATTCAAAATAAGTCTCTTCGATCACAAAAACCAAACTGTGTTCCAAAATATCTCTTTTCTCTTTTTTCTTCAAAGTTTGGGAGTGCTTGATGAGGAATAATTTTGAATTTTCAATGATCATATGTTGTGTAGTTAGTACTATTCATCTCATATCTAAAATAATAAACAATATGAACATTTGAGCATGTGATGTATCATGTAGGTGATTAGTTTTAGTGTAGGATCTTCTTTATGGAGATGTAGAACATTACTATGTGTGATATGATCTGATCATCTGATATGTGATATACTTATGATTGCTTGTTACTCGGTTTGCAGAAGTGAAGGGAAGT